ACGAATATGACAATGGTTTGCATCGGGCAATACTAAAACATACATATAGAAGAAACTTAAATAGTCGCCTACGTATATTCGTCTTGATAACTTTGAGTTCTTATGCTTCAACTGATAAAAGATATAGTGCAATATTGTGTGTACCTGTACATTTGGAAATTTTGAGAAAATTCAAAAGAAATACGTGGAACTTTCTAAAAATTTCTAGAAAATTCAAAAGAAGGCCATGGAACTTTCTAGAAATTTTGAGAGAATTCAAAAGAAATCCATGGAACTTTCTAGAAATTTCGAGAAAATTCAAAAGAAATCCATGGAACTTTCTGGAAATTTCGTGAAAATTCAAAAAAATCCATGGACCATTCTAGAAAGATCGAAAAAATCGAAAGAAATTCACAGAACACTCTAGACACACCCAAACCTGGTCGAAAAGCACGACAAATGTGCGATATTTGCAATAAAAATGTTTGCCACAATCATTCTTTATCGATTTTACGTTGTCGTAATTGTGCAAAAATGCCAATTATAAATCTATCGATAGTTATATTTATCATTATTTTAGCGAAAAGTGTGATTTATTTATTATTTAAACATAATAAATAAAACCGATTTTAAAAAATACCGTTTTTGTATGTATTTATATATGGGACCAGAGTGGTCCTATTTGCCCGATAACGTAAGTGAAATAGCTTGAACGGTTGAGGGTTAACAATCACGCTTCATACAGCAATGAGAAGTATGCCCATAAACAAAAACTCCATATATTTCAAGCACACACACACACGGAGACACACACGCTATAAACTCATACGCTGCATTCATTAAATCTATAAGTCCAAGATCAAACAAGAGAATGGACAAGAGACAAACCCTACGAATTATTTTTGAATTCCCACCAAAATATGAATTTGTAACAGTATGAGTTATACTATGTAAAAAAAAAATTTATGTGACGTTCTTCAGATTCCGTTTTTGTATTGCCACTTTTATTCCCATGGACACATTTCATAATTGGATAGATATATCCGCGGAGCTGAGCGCTCAGCCAGATATGTTTGTGTGTATAGCACACATACACGTGCCTGTTTACAATACACACAATCATATCTGGCTAAACGCTGAGCTCAGCGGATACATCTATCCAATTATGAAACACTGATTTGTAAAGTCACCCTTTATTATCGCAAAATTTTAGTAGGAATTGCAATAGGGAAGATGGGAGCAAATCGATACACCTCGGAAAATATGAAAATAAAATGAAATCGAATGAATTGAATGAAATATAGCCGAAATAACCACCTGAAGTGACTACCGATAAGAAGCGAATTCTGGGATAGTCATTTGTTGTTGGTTATTGGTTAATGGGTGTGATAGCTCAGCTTCAATCTTTGGCTGATTTTGTAACAACATTTTTGAGAATTTTTCAGAATTTAGAGGTGTATGAAGGTGACGCCCGTTTGTGTGTTTAATGCACACCAATAAGAAGTTTATCCAAAAATAAGATTCAGGCAAGGGTTTATTTCACATGCGCTCTTGAAGAAATTCAAAATTTTGGAAATAACAGGTGGGTAGATAAGTCTTTGTCCTAACATATAGATGGCGTGACTGAATTTTTTTTGCTATAATTTTTAATTAGTACGAACCTTCAAACGATACGTGTCAAAATTTGACAGAAATCGGACGATTCTTTCGTGAGTTATACGTGTTTGAGTGAAGCTACTTTTGTTATTGTTAAAAAAATGGAAAAAGACGAATTTCGTGTGTTAATTAAACATTATTTTTTGATGGGAAAAAATACTGTGCAAACCAAACAATGGCTTGATAAATGTTATCCGGACTCTGCTCCGTCGAAAACAACCATTTGTCGATGGTTCGCTGATTTCAAACGTGGTCGTGTGAGCACAAATGATGCTGAACGCAGTGGACGCACAAAATAATTTTAAATGACCGTAAAGTGAAGTTGATCGAGATAGTTGAGACTCTGAAGATATCGAAAGAGCGTGTTGGACATATCGTGCATGAATATTTGGACATGCGGAAGCTCTGTGCAAAGTGGGTGCCGCGTGAGCTCACAATCGATCAAAAACAACAACGTGTTGATGATTCGGAGCAATGTTTGAAGCTGTTTAACAGCAATAAAACCGAATTTTTGCGTCGATATGTGACAATAGATAAAATATGGCTCCATCACTACACTCCAGAGTCCAATCGACAGTCAGCGGAGTGGACTGCACGCGACGAACCCAATCCAAAGCGTGGAAAGACGCAACAGTCGGCTGGCAAGGTTATGGCATCAGTATTTTGAGATGCGCATGGTATAATATTCATTGACTATCTTAAAAAGGGCCAGACTATCAATAGCGACTATTATATAGCGTTATTGGAGCGTTTGAAGAACGAAATCGCGAAAAAACGGCCACATTTGAAGAAGAAGAAAGTGTTGTTTCACCAAGACAATGCACCGTTCCACAAATCAATGAAAACGATGGCAAAATTGCATGAATTGGGTTTCGAATTGCTTCCCCATCCACCGTATTCTCCAGATCTGGCCCCCAGCGACTATTTCCTGTTCGCAGACCTCAAGAGGATGCTCGCTGGCAAGAAATTTAAGACAAATGATGAAGTGATTGCCGAAACTGAGGCCTATTTTGAGGCTAAAGACAAATCGTACTATGAAAATGGTATCGAAAAGTTGGAAGATCGCTATAATCGCTGTATCGCCCTCGAAGGCAACTATGTTGAATAACAAAATTGAATTTTGCCAAAAAAAATTTTTTTTCTTAGTTAGGACAAAGACTTATCTACCCACCTGTTATGTGATCGCTTAGTTATCAATACTCTATACTAAAAAAAACATCAAATAAATACAGTTTTGTATGAATTTGGTATATAGCGACAAATATTACAAATATTCGTGATTATCGTAGTTTTTTGTAATAATATGTATTATAATACATCAGCGATTTGAAACACACACACAAAATAAAATTAATAATCATGTTATTATTGCATAAAAACAATTTTCAGGCCAAAAATTTATATTTCTTCAACAAAAAAAATAATTTGGATGATGAACTTCAAAAGTGTGTAATTAATATTCTTATAGTAAGCCTTTGTGTATTTATAAATGACGTTCCACTAAATGACATGCACCGTTTGCCGCCATTTTGGGTATTTACGATAATCAGGAATAATGATTTTATTCACGAATATTCACAGAAAGTGAAGTTATTGTTCACTACTCAAAATGGACCAATATTCGTGAATATGCATGGTTTTTCACGAATAAAAAATACTTCCGAGCCCCTAGTATACTCCTTTGTATCTATCTTTCGTTTTTTTCTTCCTTTTATCGCAACCTTCAACTTTGTTTGCATATATTTTTGTGTTTGTCAGTAATGTACGATCTCAGATTCTCAAGCAGGAGCTTTCACAGATGAAGGTATAAAAGACAGGCTCCTTTACTGCACATTTCGAGTAATTTACTATAAGAATGTAATACACACAAAAAACAGAAAAAGTAGAAATGTTTGAATGTATTGGTATATTGTAAATTTACCTACACCACAACATAATTGACACTTGTTTTGGCACGATGGACCAAATGTCAATTGCCCTGTTGTAGTGACAATTGTATGAAAATACCAATAGATATTTTAACAACTACTGGTAAATTTGCAATATACCAATACATTTAAACATTTCTACTACTACTGTTTTTTGTGTGTACAGATATTTTATGTACATCATTTTCCATACTCTTCTGTCTGGGATTCAATAGTCCTGGTGAAAACGGCGATAGTATCTGGAATTCTAAATCATTTTTTCAAAAAAAAAAAAAAAAATAATAAAAAAGAAATAGACACAAAAAGTTGAATTTATGACAATACTTTTTCTACATTGTTTGTGTTATTTCTCATATGCCATTCACTGTATTTTGTTGGTAAAGCATATTAGTTTATCGCTTGGCCGTTTTGTGATGCAAATGTACGTATGTATTTAAAAATATATTATTGATGAATCAGATCCCATTAGAGGACTGCCGAGCATTTTTTATTAACAATCAAATTTGAAATTGACTTAAAAGCAAAAAACAACATCAGTTAAACTAGGCATGATATTTTCTAGTATTTTCTAGTAAATCCCAATTTTTAATTCGTTTCTCCCCCTTAGGTATTGAATTGTTCATTTAAGCAAAGTTCCTCATCATCACTAAATGACACATGATAGAATTAGGGAGAAAATAAACTAATTAATAATTGAATACGAGTTTTCTTAATAAAATAAACAACAATCATTAAATATTTTTTCTTTCTATTTTTCAGAGGGTGCACGACTAAAGGGATCCACTGTTTTATTGCATTGTCAGGCTGGAATATCACGAAGTGCAACGATTGCGATAGCTTATGTGATGCGATATAAATCACTTTCACTGCTAGAAGCATATAAATTGGTTAAATTAGCAAGACCAATCATCTCACCAAACCTCAATTTTATGGGACAATTGCTTGAACTAGAACAAAATTTACGGGCCACTGGAAAATTGGAACCATTACCGCCAGCATCAGCATCAAATAGTTCCGATTCTGAAATGGAAAACGATGAAGATGATGACGTATTTACCGCACGATTACTTCACAACAAATTTTCCGCAAAATCATGTATCTCATTGCCCGATTGCTCTTCAACATCATCACTGTCGTCATCTAAGTCAGCATCAACGAGTTCTACGCTATCACCGATAGACGAACGGAACTAAACAACCATTTCATATTTCACACAACATATTCAAACAAAAAATTGAGAGTTGTAATTTTATGGCGAGTAATCGTTTTCTCTATAAGAGCGGAATAAAATCAAATTATCGTTCGATGCTACATCATAAAACGTGCTAATTAGTCAAAAAAAAGTCAATTTATATTCGTACTTTTTTATAAATTATAACCAATTGATTAACACACATTTATAAAAAAAACACATATATGAAACTAGATTGAAGCTTTTTACTTTTATTTGGACGTTTCACAAAATCAAAAGACGAAAAATTCAGCCATATATATTTTGCCATACAAATTTTACGCATGAGTAAGTTTTAATTTAAAAAAAATCAATTGATGGCCAAAAAACTATCAATTATAAAGATTACCAATTTTTTTAAATTTAAATAATATTTTAAAATCAAAATGTACTTTGAACAAAAAACCATAATAATGAATAGGTTCTTTCACATAGTCTTTTCGTCATCAATTTAATCTTGCTAAAAAAAGAAATTTATGATAAACGAAAAGTAACTTGTGTATGAAATTCTATAATCAATAGACCAAAATCGAATGACATGAAAGGTTTGTTGTGATTTTTCCATTTACAAATTATCTACCATTCGAACAAACTCACATATACTAAACTAAGAAAATGAGGATATTAAAGACACACTTTAAAGAAAAAAGGAAGAATTTTTTCGCAGTTTTAACCCACCACAAACCACCAAATTCGATAAAACATATTAAAAATAAAGAATAAATTTAACGAGAGACGAAAAAACCTATGCTTCGGGTGAGAGAAAAAACTAACCAATCCTCTCCCAAAAAAACGAAATAAAAATAAATTCACATAACTGTAAATCTCATGGCTGTGTTAAGTTAATAATTTTTTTAGTTTAATATTTTTTCTTACTATTTTATGTTTTTCTTAAGTTAGGGGCAAATTTCTATCTAACCCAAAAAACATTTGTTGTGGCAAATTCATCCATTATCGGGCATATGTTGACGGTCAATATTGGGGTCGGATTTGAGTGTAGTTTCAGTCATTTTCAACGTCGCAATGGAAAGAAAAAAGAGAAAAAATAAACTCAGTTACTAAGTTTGAATCAACATCAATATACTATCGGTTCAGTTCAATAAATGATACTCACCTACGGGTTATTTTATATACCGAACTGCCCGTACTTCGGTCAAGGCCACAAAACTCAAGCCCAGCATAGTAACAAAACGTTACAATAATATTATTTAAAAAGAAATCTTAATGCTACATGTAATTAAAACTGGTCGTCATCGGAAACATCGAGAACATAAACGTAGTCCTCGTCGTCACTGGAATCCTCATCGTCAGCTGCTTGATTTTGTACGGCAGCATTTTGATTCTGTGGTTTCAATAGTTGCGGATGAATGTCCAATCCCAACACCGTACAAAGACCTAAAAACAAAATCGTAAACAACAAATCGTTAGCCAAAACATTCTTAAACATTTTTAATTTCAGTGATATTTTTTCACCTTTGTACATGATGTTCTTGGCTGCAACGATATCCCGGTGCCAAACAGTTTTCAATTGAAATGGAGCTCGATCATCTTTCCAAATGCCAGTGTTTAGTTGCCAGTTTTTGAAACATACTTGAAGTTTTGACACTAAACCATCTGAATCCATTGGAATATGATCTGGGTTGGCTGCATTCAATCGATTAACAAAATCAACTGCATATTTACGCAATTGTTGGTACACTCGGTTGCTTTTCATGGTGATAATCACGTTCGGTAAATTCCATTGCGATGACTCATCTTCACTTGGAATACAATGCTGACAAACTTTGTATCGATCGCTTTTGGTTCGTCGATCGAATGGCCGGAAGCATTTTGCACAAGTTTGCGATGTATTGTATTCGTCGACCAATCGTACAATACAATTTCCCAACTTCTTGAAACTGTTCAATAGTCGTCGTAATCCCGGGCATCGCAATCGCTTTTTAATACCAATTGGTGAGTTTGGAGCTATTTGAGCTGCACCAATAAAAACGAGCGCCGACTTTTTTTTCGTCAGTGATGCCGCGATTTTGTCACTTGCCCGATTTTCTTCGATGTATTTATCGTGACGGAGTCGAATGAACTTTCGTGTTGTGTACACCGCCATAGCTGGTTTCATCATTTTCACATAATAAGCAATGTAACACATCCAATGTGAACGTCCTTTCGGCGATGGAAAAAATGCATAGCGTTTATAGTCGAGCTCCCGTTGTTTTTGCAACAATTCAGTCCATTGATCGGATTTACGCTTGCGTTTGCCATATTTCGCTTTGAAATGGTATTTTGGACCATCAATTGTGATGTTTTCCTGAGATTTACGAACAAAAAATCATAAAAGTAAACAAATGATAAATAAAGAATGAATTTATTGTTTCTTACCTCGTTGCCGGATCGAACGTGTTTGCGAACGGTGGCGTTCCATGTACGAACTCCTGGATCGATTCCAAGCACATAATCAAACTCAAAGTTATTGTACTTCTCTTTGATGGTGTTGTTATCAAGTTCTGGTCTTTTGCGTTCAGGCTTCACGAAACATAACGAAACTGCCACACTATCAGTTGCCACAGCAAAATCGAATTCCTTACCATTTCCAAGTTTTGAAATTTTTGGCAGGTCAAATATTAAATCCCAATAGATAGCTGGATTGCTATCGTATTCAGTTTTTTCAATGTTTATTGGCTGACCGCGTTTTCGTTTTGCCAATTTCAATGCTCCAAATTTTCTCGCAATCAAATAAAAAAGATGGATATCGATGCGGATATGTTTCATATCGAAATCGTGGACTGGAATTACTAAAAAATTCTTTATCGCGTCGATATTTGAACCAGCGTTGTTTCAACATTTCATATTTCGCGTGAAAATCGAAAATTTGTCGCTGAATGTTTATAAATATTGGGATGGTTTGGAACCAGCGATCACGAATGAGATTCTGGAAGTGTACATTGATTGGCAATCCAATGCCTGCTGCTTCGTTTAATAGAAGATCGATGTTCGCGTTTCTCTCGACTCTACTCTGGAACATTACGATCTTCGTCGCACGTTTTACATCCAATTCAGTGATGAGATTTCCTTGTCTATTCAAATTCAGTTCGTAGCGCTTTAGCGTGAAAAATTTCTTGATGCGACTGAATGACCATACTCTGATGTTATTTTTCACGTTTGTTATGTACTGAGTGATGAGATGATTGAATGCATTCCCCATGCCCTCGCGAGCTGGCCAATTTTCTGGACGAAGAAAATCAGGACATGCTTGCTCCACAGTTCGTCGAAATGCAAGCGGTAATTTGTGGTAATTTTCTTGTAATACCGAGGTGAAACATTCACCAATTACACCATTCACGTATTTATTGAATTCATCATTCGTGTATTCATCGGATTCGCCTTTAAAAAATCGAACATTTTCATCGTCAAAGGCTTTGTTTGCTTTGAACAAAAACAGTAATGACGCCAGAGTCGTAATCATTGTGGCCGAAAGGCACCAGTATGTGACCTGATCGATGAATGGTGCACGATACTCTTCCCGCAGCACTTGATTTAGAGTCATCTTCAACGACGTACTGCGCTATTGATCTATTGTACAAAAATTAAAGAAAAAAATACACCAAATATAGCGTAGATCACAAACACAATAAGATATAAACACTTCTATCACAAATTAAATGAAACAGTAATGAAGAACGCATTATAAATATCACCTCTTACCTCAACAAAGTGACTCTTTATTCTAAATCGAATGATGAAATTTATTTCCAATGTGACATCAAATATTTTGCCGATCGAAATGTTGTTGGAATATTCACAGTTAATTTTATCAACACTCTGTTATTTCGAAATTAAAACAAAGACAGTCACAAAACCAACTGTGAATATATCCATTCGCCAGCGAACAGCATTCCAAACACATAAAATCGTTTTTGAAATGTCAAAAAATCAATTGATCGCCCAAACTACGCTTCAAACACTCTCATATAATTCTCAAGAAAGCGTATTGAAAACAAAACAAAGTTTTATTGTAAACAAAATCGGTTGGTGCGATAGTTGTTTATACTAACAATACTGTCACACAATGTGGGCACATTTTTAATACATATAAATGAATATCTTTGGATTTGGTTTGACACATATACACCGCTCCAAACGAAAAATGTCTGAAAAATGTCAGTTGCATTTCGAAAATTCAAAATATTAATTCCACAAATAAAGAAAATTAAATGCAATAAATGACGTATAAAAGAGTTCT